ACAGGTTATAGAGGCGGAGCCTTTCTTTGAGGATTATTAAATAAATAAATAAATAAATAAATAAATAAATATATTTGTTTGTTTGTTTATTTATGTTGGTGCGAGAAGAAAAAGAGAAAAAAAAGAAAAAAAAAAGAAAAAAATACAACACGTAGGAGCGCAGATATACCCCAAACGCCAACAGATAAAACAAAAAAAAAACAGCAGCAGCAACAGCAGCAGCAACAGCAGCAACAGCAGCAGCAACAGCAGCAGCAACAGCAGCAACAGCAGCAGCAAGAGCTGCATAGCAGCAACTAAGCTCACTCAATAGGCAGCGGATTCAGCAGCACAGTTTGCTGTTCCTGCTGCTGTTCTCCCTTCTGCTGTTCCCCCTGCTGCTGCTGCAGCATCTGCTGCTGCTGCTGCTGCTGCTGCTGCTGCTGCTGCTGCCGCTGTCTCCTGCCTATACACTCGCCTGGGGTGTATCCCCACCTCTGCATAATATGCAGCCCCACAGCGTTTGTGTGAAGCATCCATACACCGAAATATTTGCTGCTGCTGAGCGGGCAGCTGCTGCTGCTGCTGCTGCTGCTGCTGCTGCTGCTGCTGTTGCTGCTGCTGCTGCTGATGTTTTCTGTGCTGCGCTTAGGCCGCCACCAGCTGCTGCGCGGGCAGCGAGGCTGCCGCCGCAGCATTTCTGCTGCTGCTGCTGCTGCTGTCTTTCCTACTAGCTGCTGCAGCCGCAGCACCTTTTGCTGCTGCTGCTGCTGCTCCCCCTCAGACAGCTCCTCATCGCTTCCTTCTATTTCTACGGCTATATCTGACTCGCTGCTGCTGCTGCTGCTGCTGCTGCTGCTGCTGCTGTTGCTGCTGCTGCGAAGCAATTTCTGACGCGGAGCAGCCACAGAAGCATCGGCCTGCTGCTGCTGCTGCTGCTGCTGCTGTTGCTGCTGCTGCTGCTGCAGTGCGGGTAACAGCTCCTGCACCCTACACATATGCACATTTCCTCTGCTGCTGTTGGCGCTGCTGCTGTTGCTGCTGCTGCTGCTGCTGCTGCTGTTGCTATCCAGCCGCACGCGAGCAAACCACGTATACTGCTGCTGCTGCTGCTGCTGCTGCAGCAGCTTTTGCTGTTTTCTCGCAGCAGCACCCGAGAGAGGCAACACCGATGCAGCAACAGCAGCAGCAGCAGCAGCACTATCTTCTGCTGCTGCTGCTGCTGCTGCATGTCTCCTCCTGCGCAGCAGCAGCCGCAGGGTGCCTCGCTGCCACCGCTGCTGCTGCACCCGGACGAGAACTGAGCTGCCGCGCACCAACACCCCTTGTTGCTGCTGCTGCTGCTGCTGCTGCTGTTGCTGCTGCTGCTGTTGCTGCTGTTGCTGCTTCTGCTGCTGCTGCTGCTGCTCAATAGCTTTGCGAGGAGAGAAGCTGACGAGTGTTGCTGCAGCAGCAGGCAGCAGCAAACCATGGCTCCAGCGGCAGCAGCAGCCATAAGGACACGCCTGCTGCAGCTGCTGCAGCGACACTGCGCCTGCTGCTGCTGCTGCTGTTGCTGCTGCTGCTGCTGCTGCACCGTCAGCTGCCAGCTGAAGGCCCACTGCTGCTGCCGCTTCTCGCTGAGCCATAGACTCAACACCCTTCTGCTGCTGCTGCTGCTGCTGCTGGTGTTGCTGCTGCTGCTGTTGCTGCTGCTGCTGCTGTGTAGCAGCTTCTGCTGCAGCGCGAAATGCAGCAGCAGCAGCAGCAGTAGCAGCTAAAAGGTGAGTACATGGAGCCTCCCTATTTTCTTCTGGGCACGCCGGCACCACCAGCAGCAGCGGCTGCTGCTGCTGCTGCTGTTCCTGCTGCTGCTGCTGCTGTTGCTGTTGCTGCTGCTGCTGTTGCTGCTGCTGCTGCTGCTGCTGCTGCTGTTCCAGCAGCAATGCTGTGCGGAGCTCAATCCCCCCCGACGGCAACGCATCACACACTGCAGAGAACTCATCGTCGCCGCTGCTGCTGCTGTTGCTGCTGCTGCTGCTGTTGCTGCTGCTGCTGCTGCTGCTGCTGCCAAGCACCAGCTGCTGCAGCAGCGGGCTGCTGCGCACCACCGCTCGGACCCGCCCGTACTGCAGCAGCGCCTCGCCGCTTCTCTGCATCGCAGCAAAGACACAGAGACTACCTTCCTGTCTGCTGCTGCTGCTGCTGCTGCTGCTGCTGCTCTCGCTGCTGCTGCTGCTGCTGCTGCTGCTGCTGCTGCATGAGCCCGCGTCAGAAGCGCCGCTGCTCAAGTCGCAGTCCGAGAGACTCATAGCTGAGTCGCTGCTGCTGCCTTCTCCTTCATCCTGCTGCTGCTGCTGCTGCTGCTGCTGCTGTTGCTGCTGCTGCTGCTGCTGCTGTTCTCCCTGCTGCAGGTGCAGCAGCTGCCGCTGCAGCTGCAGCCGGCGAGACTCCAGCAGCGAAGTCCTCATGAGCTCAAGAGCTGATGCTGTGTCTGCTGCTGCTGCTGCTGTTGCTGCTGCTGCTTCTGCTATCTCACTCCTCTCTGTCTCCGATCCACATTGCTGCAGCAGCTGCTGCAGCGTCTGCTGCTGCTGCTGCAGCTCTGCCAGCTGCTGCTCAGAAGCAGCAATATCCTGCTGCAGCTGCTGCTGCTGCTGCGCGTCCCCCTCACTCCATACAGCTGCATCAGGAACAGCAGCAGCAGCAGGCGCAGCAGCAGCAGCAGCAGCTGCTGCTGCTGCTGCTGCTGCTTCGGTATCCATGGCTGCAAGCTACAAAGCGGCTACGGGGGGGCTGCTGTCTGCTGATGTTTGCTGCAGCAGCTGCTGCTGCTGCTGCTGCTGTTGCTGCTGCAGCAACTACAAAGACGCCCGCTGCTAGGACGANGCAGCAGCTGCTGCTGCTGCTGCTGCTGTTGCTGCTGCAGCAACTACAAAGACGCCCGCTGCTAGGACGAAAGTTTAATATTTCTGACTCAATACTAAACTCTTATGAGATATTTATTTAGCAGCAAATTGCTGCTGCTGCTGCTGCTGCTGCATGCATGCAGCAGCAACAGCCCCGTGGCAGTTGCAGCAGCAGCAGGGGGCCCAGCAGCAGCAGCCGGGCAGCACAGCAGCAGACCCCACGCAGCAGCAGCAGCTGCCGCTGCTGCTGGCTGCAGCAGTGGAGCTGCAGCAGCAGTTAGGCAGCAGCAGCATCAGCAGCAGCAGCAAAGAATAAACTGCAGCACGAATAGGATTTAAATGATAATAATATTATTTTTAATTGTTTATA